ACAGTCTGGTCCCACATCCATGTGTGGGGGATAAAAATTTGGGAGGGATATCTCAGGAGTGAGGAGTCCCTGCCCCACATCAAGCCTCCCAGCCTAGGGTCCCAGGGCCAGGAAAATAAGTCCCTATAACTTCTGGCTACAAAAGCCAGCAGGGACTAAGTCAGTGGGAGAAACTTCTGGAGTCCCAAACAGTTCCCCTTAAAGAACATACACACAGACTTATTCAAACTCACTCCCTCTGAACTCCAGCACTGATATAGCAGCTTGAAAGGCACCAGTGGCATACTAGGAGGAACTGAAGGGTCTGGCATCAAGGCAAGAACTGGGGGGTAGCTTTCTCCCAGAAAGAAAGGTGGACAAAGACCACTGTCCCTTTTCTGAGCCCTCTCTGAACAGAGCCACAGAGCCAGCAGGCTGGTGCCATATCTGAGACTCCATCAATCTGGCTAACACAGTTTGCCCCACCCTGGAGATCCCCTAAGACTCTATCTCACCCAACTTATGGGTCCACCCAAACTGTTTACAGTGACTTTTCCATATGAATGGCTGGTCTTTGTTCATGATTCACAACTTCCTGAATCCTCTCAAACAAGCAATAGCCAGCCTCAGTTAAGTCCTCAGCCCCTGCACCTCTTGTTAAGTGGCCCCAGGCCCAGGACTAGAAGCAGCCAGCCTAGCTTCACAGCTTGGCTTGGCCTGGGAATCTCCAAGTGCAGCACAAGTAGCAGCGATCTCAAATTGCCTTATAGCTCATGCAGGGTGGCCCTGGGAAGAACGCAGGAGGTGGCTGACCTTGGCCTACACCACCTGAGACACCCCAGAGCCTGGATACCAAGTGGACAGCAACGGACCACCTAAGAACACCACCACCTTGCCCCTGCACAGCTCATCCTCCACAGAGGGTGGAGGTTGGTGGTCAGTGGTCACAACCAGTCCTAGCAACTTGACTGGCCTGGGTAAATCCCTCCCATTGACCTGCCAGCAGCAATCAAGGCTCAACTACAAGAGGATAGAGGACTCAGCCCACACGAAGGATACACCTCGAGTATTCAGCTTCAGAGATAGGGGAGGCTGTCCTTAACACTGAAGTACATTAGGCCACACTACCAAGACCCAGAGTCAAAGAGCTCTACCTAATACATAGAAACAAGCACAGGGAGGCTGTCAAAATGAGGAGACAAAGATACATGCCCCAAGTGAAAAAAACAGCTCAGAACTCCAGAAAAATAACTAAAGAAAATGGATATTAATAATCTATGATATGCAGAGTTCAAAAAGCTGGTTATAAGTATGCTCAAGCAACTTAGTGAGGACCTCAGTAGCATAAAAAAGACCCAGTTAGAAACAAAGGATACACTAATTGAAATAAAGAAAAATTTACAGGGAAACAACAGTAGAGTGGATAAGGCTGAGAATCAAATCACTGATTTTGGAACATAAGGAAGCATGAAATAAAGTATTAAAACAACAAGAAGGAAAAAGAATCCAAAAAAACAAGAATAGTGTAAGCAGCCTATGGGACAACTTCAAGCACTCCAACACTTGCATCATAGTGATGCCAGAAGGAGAAGAGAAAGAGCAAGAAATTGAAAATCTATTTGAAAAATAGTGAAAGAAAACCTCCTTAATTTGGTAAAGGAAATAGACATGCAAGTCCAGGAAACACAGAGAGTCTCAAACAATATGGATAAAAAGAGGCCCACTCCAAGACACATCATAATTAAAATGCCAAAGGTTAAAGATAAAGAGAGAATGTTAAAAGCAGCAAGAGAAAAGAAGTTAGTTACCTACAGGGGAGTTCCCCTAAGACTGTCAGTGGGTTTCTCAAAAGAAGTTTTTCAGGCTAGAAGGGATTGGCAAGAAATATTCAAAGTCATGAAAAGCAGGGACCTACAGCCACAATTGCTCTACCCAGCCAAGATATCTTTTAGAATCAAAAGGCAGATAAAGAGCTTCCCAGTTGAGAAAAAAATAAATTCCTCATCACCAAACCATTATTATATGAACTGTTAAAGGGACTTATTTAAGAAAAAGAAGATTAGGCTGGTGTGGCTCAGTTGGTTGGAGCATTATCCCATAGACTGAAAGAAAAAGATCAAAACTATGAAAATTAAAATGACAATAAAGACAAATCTATCAACAATTGAATCTAAAAAACAAACTAAGGAAACAAGAAGAACAGGGAATCATAGATATGGAGAACATTTTGATGCTTGCCAGATGGGAGGGGAATGTGGAGGAATAGGTGAAGAGGTCAGGGGATTAATAAGTTCAAATAGGTAGTTACAGAATAGCCATGGGAATGTACAGTACCATACAGGAAATGGAATAGCCAAAGAACTTATACACATGACCCATGGACATGAACAATGGTGGGGGGATTGCCTGAGGGAGTAGGGGGTGCTGGGTGGAGGGGGGCAAAGGGGGAAAATTGGGACAACTGTAATAGCATAATCAATAAAATATAATAAAAATAAGTTAATATTTAAAATTTTGCAAAGATTTATATCTAGGCCTGTCTCTTAGCTATCTAGGATCTTGAGACTGAATGGTCAGTATACTTGGTTGGTGGGTACACACTTGCTCAGCTCTCAGTCTCACATATTTATCTTATTAGACTTCCCTTGGTGTTCTAGGAGTGCCTCAATATGGCTCTTATATATCCCTTAAAGGCATAATTTTGCATACAATACTGCCTAGTAACAATAGTAATATTAAGCAGTTATTATGTGTGCCTTTTGTACAGTGATATATTAAGTGCCTTAGATGTATTTTCTCATTGGATAATTAAAACAGTTCTATGCGATAGATATTAATGCTGGCATTATACACATGAAGAAACTAGAGCTTAAAAAGACCAAATAACTATCTTGCTCATCACTCTATTTCCAGTGCACAGGACAGTACCTGGTTCATAATAGAGACCCCCCCAAAAAAAAAACCCCAAATGAATAATTGATTTAGAGAGAAAATTCTAGGAAGACTGTGAAGCACTAGGAATCCTCTTCCCACCTAGACAGCAATTGTACTGGCAGAATCTGTCTGATGTAACTATTAGGAGCACTGGAGTCTATTCAAAGTTAATTTCAGTCTATTTTATCTTTTAGCACTCTAGCAGCTACCAATTACCCATTCCGCCCGATTCTATGTCAGGAAGCTATGCATGTTTTCCAAGAGCAGTTTGAAGAAGACAAAGTGGGCAGTAAGACCCCAACACCTCCTTCCCCACCAAAAAAGAGGCCAAGTGACTTCCCAGAGTCATACAGTCAGTAACTGACTAAGGCAAGACTCTGGCCCAAGTCTGTCAAATCAGAGAAGAATCATGGTATTTAACCATGATGCCAACATTGCCTTATTACAATATTCATATAATGTTCAGGACAGTCTGAATTATCAAAACGAGATAAAAATATTCCAAGTGCCTTCATTTAAAAAATGAAAGTTATGATATACTTTTTAGAAATACTTCTATTCAAAGTGGATAAAAATATTTTAAACATTAGTGCTTAAAGAAGTAAGCATTAGTTATCAGAAAAATCCACTTTTGTAAAATGACTAATTCTCCAGCAATGCCAAATCCAAGAGGTGTTTCTGTATTATCTACTACTCTCAGAACTGCAAAGCAGCTCAGTATACCTTCTGGCAGCTTCAGAGTGCAGAAATCTTTGGCAACTTCACCATGTTTTTATTTGACAAATAAAAATGAAAATACCATGATCTGTTCCATAGCAGCCATCATTCTATTAGGGATATAGAGTGGTCTCGGGCCTTACCTACCTCAAAAGCTATACACACAGATGCCCATGCACACATACACATGCCCAAATGCACATGTGTGTGCATACACACACACACAGAACTAAAACTGGGCAATAGGGAAACCTGGAATAAAATATTCTGAGGCAAGCACAGCCTGATGCTATGGCTTAGTTTACAAAAAATTCTAAAGCAAGCAATGTTTATGTGGGGCAAAGCTAATTGTACTACTATTAATAAAAATAGCTAACACTTGGAGAATACTATGTGCCAGGAATTCTTCAATGAACATGTATTCATTGAAATCTCACACCAATCCTATGAGATAGGTTCTGCTATTATTCCCACTTTACATCTGGGGAGAATGAGGTATAGATGCATTGTTCAGTAATATGTCAAAGATCACAAAGCTACTAGTCAGAGAGAACTAAGAGTTGAACCCAAACAGTCTAGTGTCAGAGTCCATGTTCTAACTACTATTAATACTTTTCCTCAAATAATAGTACTAATGTATGTCTACACTTCTAATGTCCCTGGTGCCGTGCACTTTATATACATTATCTCATAGACGTTTTTCAAGGTTGGAGTTCTTAGTTTTAAATTATTATGCAGTATTTCATTTGATCTTTAAAACAACCCCATTAGGTACCTATTACTGTATCTATTTTACAGATAAAAATACTGAGTCACAGAGAAGTTAAATAACTTTGCACACAGGCAAAGGTACCAACTGTGCTTCAGTAAACCTATATGTACAGTAAGGATCCATATAATATAAAATAACATAATATAAATTTAATATACAATTTCTACCTCAGGGCCAGGTTCTCTCAGCAGGTGTCTGTTCTAAAGTGTTGTTAATGGGAAGAAGTAACAATAGACTTTCCTCACTTCCCAACTCAAGGGTAATACAGTGAACTTCTGCAGCAGCCATTGGCCTACTTTTCGTTCCCCTTAGTAGGGAAGCACACCGCAAAAGTTCTATCACAAGGAACCTGCTTTCAGGGCTTGGATGCTCTATCTAAAAGATACCATGTTTTAGGTTTTGTTTTGTTTTGAAAACTGTTTCTGGAAAAGCCAAACTAGCAAGCCTCCACTGGAGTCACCAATCTCAACCATGTTTTCCGTAAAATGCTTCCTCTGTTTAACAGAGAAAATAGACCTAGGACTTTTACAGCAACACCATCTTCACTAGCAGAGTGAGAAACCGATGATAACAAGGACGGCAGTCTGGGTGGGCTTACCTCCACATGAAGGGTTGCACATCCTTTCAGGAAGTCATTGATGTTGTTGATGCAGTCAGCTTCTGTTTGGGGTTCCAGACAGTACTAGAGAAACATAGTCAAATGTCACTTGGAGTCTGTAATCCCATGCCAAGTGTACTATACACACCATTCACTAACAACTATACAGGCAGGCTTTTTTTTTTTTTTTTAGGCAGGGAAGAACATTGCTGTCAGTCCAGGAAGAGAAATAACCACTAAAGGAAGTGATGCAAAAATCTAAACCGTTGGTCTTTATTTCAAATGTCACCAAACCTTAGTCTCAAGCCATCTCTACTTATAAACTTTTTCTTATGTTTTTTGCCTAAGTGTGGTGATAGCAAATCAGAGAAACCTAGACAGTTTTTTGAGCTTGGTTTTGCTTTCAACTTATTACCTTGTTCCTTCCTCTTCATGATAATTTTTTCAAGTATATTTTCCCCTTTGTTGTTCTCTGCATTTGATCTCAATTCTCTACCTTTACCACCCTTTTCTGATTGATTTTCAAGTTTAAGAAATTATAAGTAAATCAATTTTTTCAATAAAAATACAAACTTGTTCCAGAAGGTGAAAGAACTGGACTCACAGTCACACTGCCTGCTAACCTTAAGAATATGGGTGTAGGACACTACCTCTAAACAGATTTAAAGTGCCTGCTTTAGAAATTATCCATCTTTGTGATCATGGATTTCCAACATTAAAAATTTTGGACTTTTGAAAGAGAATAAGGGTAGTTTCACTTTGAACACATGTTACATTTGAAATATATGTTTGGTTTTTATTGTTTTAACAAAACTATGCGACATTTGGGATTATTTCTCCTAGTCACTAAATAGCCTTTCTTTCAATGGATATTTTATTTGAGAAGAAAATCTACATTGATTTTAGTGAAACTGTCACTAAACACCATCAACATCTGTTATAAGTCATCCCATTATTACACAGATTCATATGTACACCAAGTTCAAAACATGTCCTTGGTACACAGGAAGGTATAACACTTATCTCTATGAGAGAGCAAGCTTGTTATATGGGTGTTCTCCTTGCCCCTGGTATCAGTGTTGTAACAGGTTTTATAATACTAATACTTGGTGGCCAATTACTAAAAGATAATCCTTTGTTTCCAGACTTTTTCAAACTATAAAAACAGTAAGAAGGAATGTCTAACTCCTGGAAAGAAATTAAAGTAGGAAAGTCCCAAAACGGGGGCAATAGAAAAGCTCAAGAGTTGCATTATTGCTGCTCTCTAGTGATAAGCAGTCCCAAAGATACTGCAAATGTCCCTTACCTTTTCTACAGAGCCAGGCCTCAGTCTGTTGATCAGTTTGCACAGCACTACCCCATTTTTCAGTGAAGATTTCAAGAACTCCTCCGGATCACAGATGGTCTTTTTGGGGGAATCTAAAACCCCCAAGGATATAAGCCATGTCACAATTTGCTCTTCTGGATTCATTACTGAGGACTTCGTACACTCCAAACAGCTCTCTGGGGCAGCTGCAAGGACTAAGCCACATCCGCGATTGCATCTGCTGTTGTCTTCCTTTTTATGAGCTCTCTTCTGGTGCTTGCAGAGCAAAGCTTTAAAACAACTTTACTTAGACAATGGTGGAACCCACTCAAATTATAGGATTTCAAAACCACAGAGATCACGCTCAAAGATGTGGAAAGAGAATGAATGTAAAAACCCTGGATAACGCTGTTTTGTTTTGTTTTTTTCAAAATCTGCAAAACAAATTCATTAGAATTTTAAAAAAAAAAAGAAGAAGAAATGCATGCACACACACACAACAGTGCGAGAAGCTGTAAGGGAAGGAAGTGAGGAGGATGCTGGGGAGGGAGGAGAAAGAAGGAAGCAAGTGCTCTTGGAAAACAGAGGTGAGCCAGCACTTCAGGGGACCTTGGAAATGAGACACTCTTGGGTCAGTCTGGGAAAATGCTGTCAATAAATAGTTTAGCCCCAGTGAAAATCTGGCTTCTGTCTCGAGGAAGATGCCAAATGGCTCTTAGGTCAGACAGATCTGAGCCTCATGGGGAACTATGCTAGCACAACATAGCTCAAAGAAGGTAGGCTCAGAAAATTCTTCTACAAAATGCCCGGATGTCCTCATACTGTCTCACAGAGATGGCGTGTCATGATTATTCCTTGCAAAACACGTTGAGTTGCATGGTGACACAGTGCCAAGCAAATAAAGATTGTGCCTCCTTTCAGCTATCACTGTATATAAGCAGAAGCTAGAAGAATGGCATTTTACTTTGTAGCCAAAAAACTATGTTTAGGGAAATAGGCTAAGGATAACATCTGACATCCTGTTTACTTGCATTCTTTAGCAATTCTTTTTCTGGACCTGATTCCACTACACAATCCAGCTGCAATACCCTTAGCAAAGGCTCATACACAGTCACATAAGTGGGTAAAAAACACTTGAAAACAGAACTTTTGAGAACAAAAGAGCACTTGTCCTCTGTCTATTTTAAAGTCTGGAAGGTTGATGTTTTCCCACAATAAACACTTCGCATTAAAAATGCTTCTCTGGAAAAAAACTGGTTCATAACACAGATATTTACTTTTTTTGAACATTTTCAAAACCAGTTGAAATAGTCACACTAAAGGGAAATTTATAATAAGGCCAACTTTAACAGTATAGCTTCCTCATATTGGCAAATACATGGAACTCACCATCACTACCCATCCTCATCCATGTGCTTTTCCTAAGCTTCAGAATTAAAAAAAAATTACAGATGTTGAAGTTGAAGTTTATTTTTAAGTATATTTTATTGATTATGCTATTACAGTTGTCCCATTTTTTCCCCCTTTATCACCCTCCACCCTGCACTCATCTCTCTCCAGCATTCTCCTCCTTAGATCCTGTCCATGGGTCATACATACAAGTCCTTTGGCTTCTCCATTTCCTGTACTATTCTCAACCTTTCCCTGTCTATTTTGTACCTACTATTTATGCTTTTTAATCTTTACATCTTTCCCCCATTCTCTCTCTCCTCTTCCCACTAATAACCCTCCAAATGACCTCCATATGCATGCTTCTGTTCCTGTTCTGATTGTTTGCTTAGTTTGTTGTTGTGTTTGCTTCTTTAGATTCAGTTGTTGATAGTAGTGAATTTATTGTCATTTTAATGTTCATAGTTTTGATCATCTTCTTTTTCTTAAATAAGTCCCTTTAACATTTCATATAACAAGGGCTTGGTGATGATGAACTCCTTTAGCTTTACCTTGTCTGGGAAGCACTTTATCTGTCTTTCAATTCTAAATGATAGCTTTGCTGGGTAGAGTATTCTAGATTGTAGGTCTTTGCTTTTCATCACTTTGAACACTTCTTGACAGTCCCTTCTTACCTGCAAAGTATCTTTAGAGAAATCTGCTGACAATCTTATAGGAACTCTCCTGTAGGTAACTATCTGCTTTTCTCTTGCTGTTTTTAAGATTCTCTTTATCTTTAACCTTTGGCATTTTAATTATGATGTGTCTTGGTGTGGTCCTCTTTGGGTCCAACTTGTTTGGGACTCTCTGTGCTTCCTGGACTTGTATGTCTATTTCCTTCACCAAATTAGGGAAGTTTTCTTTCATTATTTTTTCAAATAAGTTTTCAATTTCTTGTTCTTCCTCTTCTCCTTCTGGCATCCTTATGATTCAGATGTTGGCACGTTTGGAGGTGTCCCAGAGTCTTATTATTCTCTCCTCATTTTTTTGAATTCTTGTTTCTTCATTCTGTACTGGTTGACTTTTACTTCTTCCTTATGTTCTAAATAGTTTATTTGAACCCCAGCTTCCTTCCTTTCACTGTTGGTTCCCTGTGGATTTTTCTTTATTTCACTTAGTGTAGCCTTCATTTCTTCCCTTATGCTTTTGCTGTACTCAGTGAGTTCTCTGAGTATCCTTATCACCAGTGTTTTGAACTCCGCATCTGATAGGTTAGCTAGCTCCATTTTGCTTAGTTCTTTTTCTGGGGTTTTGTTCTGTTCTTTCATTTGGGCCATATTTCTTTGTCTCCTCAACTTGACAATTTCCCTATGTTTGTTTCTGTGTATTGGGTAAACCTTCTTTGACTCCATATTGGCACACCTGTTACATTGTAAGGGGCAGAGCCATAGGTATTCACCAGGAGAGAGCAATCTGCTTCACCACTTTGTGGTGCTGTATGTGGGGGAGGGGTCTGAGAGGGAACAATGCCACTTGCTCGGCTCTTCTCCTATTTCCAATCACTTCCCCCACTTCCTGTATGCAACTGGTGCCCTTCTAGCTGTTGGCGTGTCGGTGGATCCCAGAGTGGGTGGATTGTGCACATTCTAAGACCATGTGGGCCCTTTAAACAGACTCTCCTGAGACACTGACTGTTTCTTCCACCACCCAAACCCCCACTGTTTTTTACAGCCAGAATTTATGAGGCTTTATTTTCTTGGCACCAGAATTCTGGGCTGCACACTCTGGCCTGGGACAAGGATGGCTCACTCCCCAGGTATTCCTCCTGGTTTTTATCTGCCACACATGAATGTGGGACTGTGTGTTCTGCTGGCCGCCTCCACTGCTGCCTCACTGCTGCCATCACACCACATCCCCTCTGCCCCAGCTCCCTGTCACCGCCCCTCCTACTCATCTGGATGAATATTTCTTTAAATCCTTGCTTGTCAGACTTCCATACAATTTGATTTTCTGGCAGTTCTGACTGTATTTTGTTTGGAGATTAGTTGTGATACTTCTTATGGTTGTATGAGGAGGTGAATCGTGTGTACCTATGCCTCCATCTTGGCTGGAAGTCACAGAAGCTATAAATTTTTTCACTTCTATTTTTTCTGTTACCATTTATCCTCCCTATACCCTCTTCCATCTCCACCTACCCTCTACCCCCTGCAATCACCACACTGTAGACACAGAATCCTATTCAACACAGCTTTAGGTATCTACTACCAAATAATTAACTTGGGTAATTCTTCTAAATGTTTTTAAAGCTTCCCCTTCTTTCCTGCCATAACAACACAGTTTACTATTATTACTTGTTGATCTGTCTCCTCTACCAGAATGTAACCTCCCTAGAGTAAGGGTCTTGTCTGTCTTCTTTAACACTGTTCCCAGGAGAGTCCTTGGTACATGGCAGATGTTTAAAAATGCTGAATGAATGAATGAACAAACTCATATGCTCTCTCTGGCATAGACAACTACCTGATTATAACAAGAAATTTTTATTTGTTTTAATGGCTTAAAACATTTTCTTGCTAATGATTTTTAATGCTTTTATTGAGGTATAATTGACATAATAAACTACACATATCTAATATGTACAATTCAATGGATTTTAACATATTATACACCTGTGATACAATCACACACACAGATAATACAATCCATCCACAGATAAACCTATCCATCACCCCCAAAAGTGGTCTTGTGACCTTTTAACCCTTTCTTCCCTCCCTTCCCCCCAAATTCCAGACAATCACTAATCTGCTTTCAGTCTCTATAGATTAGCTTGCATTTTCCATGACCTAACATAAACGGAAGCACACAGTTTCGTACCTTTTTTTTTTCCTCTGGCTTCTTTCAATCAACATCATCTTTTGTAGATTCATTCATCTTGTTGTATCTATCGGTAGTTCTATAACAAAGATTTGACCTCAAAATGTTTGATTTTATGTAATTACACTTATAAGCAAAATAGATATAATCAATCAAAAGGCTTAATTGAATTTTGATCTATGGCCAAGTCTAAGTAATGGAAATAAAAACAAAATCCATTTGTTGGTAAGTGAAATTCCCAAATCTGACAGACTTAAACATATTTTTATATGTCATTTGGACAATTTTCACAATTGCTCATCAAAATTTTACTCTACAGACAAACAAATTTGGCAGTGTTATTGAGGTATCACTTACATATTCTGATGAATACCGAAGAACCCTAAATAATTTTAGGAACTCAGCCTAGTCCAATATAGGCCTGAGCCCACTGAGGTCATCTGGATGAATATCTGCCTCATTTAGGACACTGGCTATAGCAAATTACTCTAAGTAATAAAGTCAAGTCTGAAAGGCAAGGCCACATCTTCAAGGCAGCAGAAACATTTCCATTAGTATAAAGATTAGAAGTCAGAGTTGGTATGATCAAATGACAAGAAAGCAAAGAATTCTGGGACATTAGCAAGCATATGGGTGGGACTAACCTTGAAACCTTGGCTGGGTAAGGAAGCCAGTGACAAAAGAAAGGAGCTGATCAACTGGGGAAATAGGGAGGAAGATTGAAAGACTGGAGGTCACAGCAACAGGAAGAGCAGGATTCACACAAAAACATGACTGAAAAAAAGCAAAAGTCTCTCACTCTATTTTAGATCTTTAGTATCATACACCCTGCACCACCGAACCGGTCCCTTAACTGACTTTCCCACCTCCATCACGTCATCCTAATGAACTCTCTGGCGGAGCAGCTTGGTTGATTTTCCCCAAATAACACTTAATAGTGT